TTTTTCGTTTCGATTTATACCCACATACATTCCAGTTTTTCCTCTCCCCCCGACTATCAGCTTGCCTGTAAGCGCCTCAAGAAAGTTAGCTTCCGTCTGTTTTGACAGCAATATATTGCTGTTGACATTTGGTATCACTCGGGCTACTTCATGAGTGCCTCCAGCTCCCAAAAAAAGCTAAAAATGAAGGGGTTGACAAACTTCAATTATCATATTATTGCAGCACAATATTGCGGACTATGGAATTGTAATAACGACAAGATTTCGCGAAGGTGAAAGACTTCGACAGCTAACACATCAGGTATGCATTTTTCCATTTTTTAAGTTTTTCTGGATTACACTGCTAACGGCCACTGCAATGCGATCTACTTTTACATAACAAGTTTGATAAGTTCGCTGGCACAATCGGTGTTCGATCTCTATGTTAGTGATGGGATGAATCTGTACACCAGTCGCACTGATCTTGATTTTAAAAAATCTTGATTTCAAAAAATCGTAATTTTGATTCACTGGAACAATCGGTATTCGATCTGATGTTAGTGATGGGATGGATCTGTGTACCAATCACTGTTATCTTGATTTTAAAAAATCGTCATTTTGATCCTGAATTGCTTAGTTCTAAATTAGTATCTCCCGTTTGTCTGACGACATATGTACGTTATTATTTTGGATGCAGCGCGAGCGACTGTTTTTTTTTTTCTTGCCGTTAGTACACCCCCTATTTATCAGCATGAATCAAGCAGCGTGTCCCTACCATCGGTTTTCACTTCTCTGCTTAGTCGTAGACTACTTGCTCATCGAGCGAAGAGTCTGATTGTTTATATAGTCATGAAGAGACACTTTAAACATCTTTTTTACACTGTCAAAACTTTCTCCTTCCCAATAAGTGTTCACTTTTTTGCTTTTTATGCACCGTCATTATCTGGGAATTTTAAAATGTTTTCCCCTTCAAGAGGTGGTCTTCGAGAAAGTCTTTGCTGTGCTATAATATATGATTTATGCTTTTATGGGATCAGTTTAATCGCTAGTTTAATAAATTAAAGTTTTTTTAATAAATTAAAATTCGTTTAATAAACTAAAGTTTAATAAATTAAAATTCGTATTACAGGTGCAATCTGGTGGTGAAAGAAGTGTCTCAACGATGCTCTATATTTTGGCCTTACAAGAGCTAACTGCGGTGCCATTTTTTTGTGTGGATGAAATAAACCAAGGTATGCGAATTATCAGTGGAATATGTACGCCCAACGTATTTTCAAGATAGTCGATGTGTAGAGATGGCACATTATTGATGTTACTGAGATACATCATTCGCTGTGCTGTGCTAAATAATTGTTTTTTTTTGCATTAGCAGTTATGCTTTCTAAGAAAAAAAATTTGTATTCGAACGACTGGCTTATTGTGCATCCCAGTAACATCACTAATATGAGATACCCGCACTGATAACCCGAACGGTTTTTGTCTTGGTATCTACGTTCATTCATGAATCTCATTCGTGGATATCTGTTTAGGCATGGACTCAACAAATGAGAGGCTTGTCTTCAATATGATTATCGATATGC